CTATCCAGGTCCCTCTGCAGAGCCTTCCCCCACCCCCTGAGGGGGCAGATCAACACTCCCTCTCAACTTAGTGTTATCTGCAAACTTGCTGAGGGAGCACTCAATCCCCTCATCTCTGATCTTGACTTGCTTCTAAATTTTTATTTTCCTTTGAGAAAAATTCTGCAAGGTGTCTTTCCAATACTAGCTAGGGTTAGTATCTTTCTTTGAACTGTAGGGTTGTAAAGCTGTTCCTAGGTGAGTACTAACAACTGTTTTATTGGTACTGATGTTTTTAATTTGAGACCTAAAACACGCTTAAACCTTGTCCTCTTAAGTCTTTTGTTTGCTCATCTTATGTCAGTTTCCTAAAATGCTGTCCCTTGAATTTTTAATGAGCTTTTGTTCTACAGCACTTAAGCTCTGCGTATGCCCACGTACGTGCATTATGTGAAAAACAAGTAAGGACAAGGCTTTCTTTCCTAGAGGGTATATACTTCTCTTGAGGTGGGATATTAATTTCTAAAATATACCTTGTCTGAATTTTTGCAATGATGGAAGCAGTGGGAGTTTTGTGTTGTCCTACTGCTACAATTTCCTTATTCAGATGGATAGTTTAAAACTAACATGAAAGCTCACTGAAGAGAATCTCCTGTAGGTTTGTTTTTTTTAAAAATATGTTACTTCATCAAGAAAGACTTTATTTCATTAAAGAATTACAAATCCTTGACAACCTACTGTGTTTTTTGCCTTTCTGTAAAATCATTAACCCATGTTAACACTGAAATCTGAAATTTGTGGTTCTGTATCAGTTGGAAACATTTAGTTGAAGGCCTATTAAACAAATAAGGTTTGGTCACTCTGTCCCTAAATTCTAAAGGAAGAGCTTTGCTTATACCTGTGTGATTGCCATAGCGTGTTAGGATTAACTTTCAGGAAAGTAGTGCTTATTGTTTCCTCTGCTGCTAGTTAAGGCAGGTGCACTCATGACATACATTTAAACAACGTTTTGCTTTGCTTGCTTTCATGTGTTGACTAAATATGCTGCAACAAAATTTACTGCAATGTTCACCAAAGTTGATGGATAATGCTTGTCTTGAATGACTTGGTGTATGCAGATGAGCTGGAGGAAGATGAGGAAGAATCTGACATGGAACTGGAGCGACAAAATATTGAAGAGCTTTATGACTTTGTAAGGCACACCCATCAGCAGGATATCCAGTTACTGAGACAGGATGTGCAACACCTTGCATTAATTCCTATTCTGAGGCCGTACCAAAGTGAAGCTGTGAACTGGATGCTTCATCGAGAGAACCTCACAAGCACTTCAAGCAGTGGCAAGTATATGGGTCTGGAAAACTTGCATAACTGAGGGAAGTGGCATTGTGTTGTCAGCAGTAATGTTTTCTTGCTGTTTGATTAGGAGCCTTGTGAATTTCATTACTATTTTTATAACAGCTGTTGTTTGGGTAATACACTAAATGATAAATTAAATTTTGAACAGCACTTGATGCGTCTTGTTGGTCCTGAAGCACTGTGGAGGTAGACATCTGCTTTTTGTCTCTAAATGCCACAATAAGGCTGAGTAATTCCAATCAGCATGCTGTTTATAGAGAAATCTCATAATAGTAATATGAACTCTTTCTCCGTAGAAAATGCACTGCATTTCTTATGGCGGGAGGTCACCACTCTGAATGGACTAAAAATCTACTATAATCCTTTTACTGGCTGGTATGTTTTTACAGTTATCTCTTTCTGAGAACAGCTCAAGGTTGTACTTCATGAAAGCCTTATTGGCAGCTTTTACCTGGAAGATATAAGTAATCCATAACTGTCATTTTTCGTTTAGCTACTAAAAAGTTAGAACTGCGATATCATTAATTTGAAAAAAAAGGAAAACTGGAGTATATAATGCATAGGTAAACATGTAAATCTTGAGTTGAAGATTGTCATCTTTTAGACAGTTGTTCTGTCACTTGATGACTCCTCACCTGGGGAGAGGAATCAGGAAAAGGAAAAAAAGACCCATAGGATGAAATAGAAACAGATTTAATAAAAATAATAAACCCCAGTATTAATAGCAATATTAATATAAAGTACAGAGTTATACTCGGTCAATATAGTGGTCACAACAAGCAGAGGAGTAGGCCTTGGGAGCAGAACAATGGATGAGACCCTCCAGGTATGACAAGCATTGAGGGGAAAAGAAAGAGAGGGCATCCTTAGCAAGCTCCCCAATTTATAGTTAGTGTGACATTTACAGTACAGAATAATCCTGTTGGCCAGCTTAGGTTAGCTGCCCTGGCTTTTTCCCCAGCTTCTGCACCTGACTAACTCAAAACTGCTACAGACCTTGATCACAGCATACCAGTGCTGGCTGAAAACTAAAACAAGGTGTCTTATCAACTTTGTTCCCACTGAATTGATTCATGCTGCAGTCTTTTCAAAAGTGCAGCTTTTGCAAATAGAAAACTAATTTTATTATTCTATCCTAGCAAAACCAGGACAAAGATATAACTCTTAAAGCTTTTTAATTGCAGTGCAAATTTGTGGTTTTAAGATTAATGATTTTTTTAAATCTGAGCACTGGACCTTCTGGTCCAGTATTTCTTAAATATAAAGGAAGGAGGCAGTATAATGCATTTTATAATACTGGGTGTTGCGGTACTAGTTTTTTTGTGCTTTTCTCATTAATTTGGTTAGAATAGAACCTTGTGATTGCTAGTGTGCTTTCTTTTTTTTCCTATATAACTTTCAGCTCTTTAACACATGAATATAAATATAGTTCAGATTGTTTTGGAGACTAATATTATGATATGCTAAGGCTAGCAAGACAAGGCCTGTTATGGGGGGGGCGAAATCCAAAAACTTATAGCCTACATATTTGTCTTTTGTCAGGTTTGTACACCCAGAAAGCTTGCTAGCTTTTGTCAGTCTCAGCCTGTCTAATAAAAGATACTGCCTCACCTTACAAACTTTTCCTTCCTGAAGCTATGCTCCGCAAGTTTCTGAATATGTGCTGCTAACCAGTCCATAGTTACTGACTTTCATTTGGGAATGTACTTGAATTTTAGTATTATCCGTGAATATCCAATTGCTGGACCCCAGTGGCCTGGAGGTATTTTGGCAGATGAGATGGGTCTTGGAAAAACGGTAGAAGTGTTGGCTCTTATTCTGAATCATACCCGACCAGACATTAAACAAGATGATCTGACATTGCCTGAGGTAAGAAAACCAGGATAAGATTTAGTATGAAAAAAATACTTTTCAGAATTAATGGAAATGCACTTCTTTGCTTCAGTTTATAGCTTTCTGTTTTATAGAAATCCAGATTTAAAGCTGAATTAAAGTATAGTGAAAGATTTGCTTTGTAGGATGTGATATCTGGTGACATAAATAGTGGAATGGTTTGCATGAGGAGCAATTGATAGTTTGCCTTTGAAGGATGTTAGCAGGCAACTGCACTGTTAATAGGCTGTCAGTAGTTTGCACATGCACTCCAGGAATGTATGAATATGAAATTTAGTCTGCTCTGTTGGAAATAATTCTCTCCTTTGCTTCATTGTATTGATGAGTATCAAACATCCATTAGACTTACGTTCTATGCTAAAACAGGGATGATTTAACTCAGTGAGTAAATATTTCTGCTCCCCTTCTGTTTCATATAATAAATGGGCTTATTTAGCAGCAGTTTTCAGTCTTTTCACTTTTTTCATCATGCATTCTGTGAAAACTTAGCACATTTCATTAAAGCCAAAAATTCTCTCTTCTTTCAGAGAACTTTTATCCTTAAGTAAACTCTTACCACTTCTGTGGGTTCTATCTTTTTGAATTCACGGCAGTCAGTTTCATTGTATGTCTATTTATAATGATCTCCTGCCTGCTTGTAATTCTGTGAGTTAACAAGACCTGATTTCAGAGAGAGAATAAAATTCTTCTTAAATGTATCAGAGGTTCAGCACTGAGGAATGTGAAGAGGGGAATATTAGCACTAAAGCTTCTGTGCATCAACTGGCAACAACAGTTAGAGACCATAGCTTTTGGAGAGGTGGAGTTATGAAACAGTTTAATGATATGAGTAGCTGGGACAGATGTCTTAGCTATTAGTTTTGGATCTTTATGAACAGAATTATATGATATTGCCTGTGGTTTAAAGGCACTCTTCTGCTCATCCAGAAGGCCTCTTGTCAGCTGTATTTTTCTTGTCTTCAAATGTAAAATGTCTTTGTTCAATGTGCTGAAAAAACCCCAACAAACAAAAACCAGAAGTGCTTTATTCCAACAGAGACTTTCTGAATGACTTTTGGCTTATGTAAGCCAATGTCAGAATTACTCCAAGTATTTCAGCTCACTGTAGGGCTCAAACAGTGTCTGGAGTTTCATTGCAGTTACTATTAAGAACTCTGTAAAACAGCTAATTGGACAGGGCAGAGTGAAATGACAATGAATACAGCTATAAAACAGTTAATCATAGAAATATTGGCACTGCATTTGTTCCAGATTTGGGATTCTTTTTTATATCCTGGTTCTTGAGTAATACATCTCCTTGAATTAAATCACTGTTTCTAAATCACTGATAATAGAATAAATTTTGGGGAGGCAATCACTAAAAAGAGAAACTTGAATACAACTAACTAAGGCTTTTTAATCTATATTGCTTACCTCCTTTTGTATTTCTAGCTATATATTAAATATATATTTTCCTTCCCCTATCAGTAACCTAGATAACTTACAGATACAGATTTCTGCAACTTAATTTGGAAGTAGTGCAGAACCCAAGCAGCTTGCAGGGCTGCACTTTCTGTTATCAGTGTAGAGTGCTGAACATCATTTGCCAAGAAACTGAACTGAATGACATATCAGTCTGTACACTAAAAATGAGCTACCTGAGCAAATTAGTGAGATCAGAGCACGTATCTATAGCAGCTCATGCTTATTTTCAAATGTGAAGGGTTAATGAAGTTCAGGATGACTGTAAAGAGACATGAGCTAATAACTGTTAAATGTTGTCTGCAATAGGGTAAGCTCGTGAACTTCTTTGTTCCACCTCAACCTTTAGAAGGAAATAAAAAGAAGAAAACTAAGGAAATGGAGCTTAAATTGAAGGAAAAAATACAATATCCCAGTAAGTATTTCTGATGGCTTTTTTTTTTTAATACATTCTGCTTTTGTCATAAGTTTTATAGTGGTCACTGACTATGAGTTTGAGGCTGCTCGTCACTTCAGCAGAGGAAATTATTCTTTTGCTGAGCACTGTGATGTAGGATTGCATGCTACAAATGAGTGATCCACACTTAGAACAGAAGTTACTAACTCAGACCTTTGTGCTACAGAACTCCATGTAATCAAAGGTTGTTGTAAGAGAGTTTATGCATTTAACTGAAATACGCTTTTTATAAGCTTCAGCAAGAAAATTAAGTGACTTATTTATATTGCTCATCAATGTTGTCATAGAATCACTGAAAAAGAGCAATTTGTAGGGCTACCTTAAGTAAAGCATTGTCAAAACTGCTGGCTGCCTTTTTTCTTTTGCATTTTTTAGATGAACACGGTGTTTAGAGTTCCCTTAATCTATGTTCTTCAAGGTAGCTTACATTTTGTCTGAGCTGTAAGTTGTTTTTGTTTTGATTTTACATACAGGCTTACGAGTGATGATATTAGCAGCTGTGAAGGAAATGAATGTGAAGAAAGGAGCATCCATTATTGCAATATTTAAGTACATCAGTGCTATGTATAGGTATGACATACAGAGAAATAGGCGGCTTCTCAAAAGAACTCTAGAAAAACTAATTGCAGAAAAAGTAGTAGAACAAGTCAAAGGACATGGTCTGTCTGGGTCTTTCAAGCTGGGGAAGAATTACAAGGAACAGAAGAGGCGAGAGAGAACCAAAGAGCAGGTAAAACATGCCGCCATTGTTACTTCAAATAATATTGCAAAGGCAGATCTTATTTCTACCAGTTGCATGCTACTCTCAGCCTTGTTGTCTGTGTGCGCTAGTTCAATGACACTGGCTTATTGATAACAATGAAGAAAACTGCAGCATTTGCTTTGGCATTCATGAACAAAGAAGCAGAAATCATAAGTAGATCAAATTTGGGGCTAAAATATTAACAACATCCATCATAAATATTTTAAAATAGTGCTGTGGGGGCTGGCAGATGTATTGTGTTTCTACTGTGAAGTTATCTTTTAGACTAGTAAACATTAACCAAGTGCTTAAAGTAGAAATTGATAAATTCTAATATCTATCTTTATGTGTTTATATGCTTAAAAAAAAAAGAGAGGTGAGGAGAAAGTCTGTCATTCTTGGTTAATACTGCTTTGTAGATAGCAAGGACTTCAGAAAGCATTCAAAAGAAGCAGCTGATGGATGCTAAAACTCAAACCAAAGAATCAAGAAGTAGTGATGTCACTTCTGAAAGTGTCCTTAAAACTCCTTTACGGGCGGATATCACCATGGAAGAGCATGATTATTGTACAACCAGCAAAAATAACAGGAAATCTGAAGATCATGAGAACTCTGTCAAAGAGAATAATCAGGAAGCCATGATCCCAAAGTCTCCTGATTTGCATGGCAGCCTCCATGTCTCCAGTGATGTGAGCAGTCATCCTGACTTTGATGTTTCTAAATCTACAGCTGATGTCCAGCAGGAAGTCCTGAAGGATGAGCCCTCACAGTCCCAAGAACGTACTGGCAGTAGCTTACAACATACCAGTTCTGTATTTCCATTTAATACCTCTGAATATCGTTTTGAGTGCATCTGTGGTGAGCTTGGGTTGGCTGACTATAAAGCTCGTGTGCAGTGCCTGAAATGTTACTTATGGCAGCATGCAGAATGTGTAAACTACAAAGAGGAAAACCTGAAGATCAAGCCCTTTTACTGTCCCCATTGTCTTGTGGCAATGAAACCAGTTTCCACAGGAGCAACTCTGATAATTTCTCCAAGTTCTATTTGTCATCAGTGGGTAGATGAGATCAACAGGCATGTAAGATCATCTTCTCTTCGAGTTCTGGTGAGATCATATAGCTTTATATTCTGGGGAGGCTTTTTATCATGGCTTGGGGCTTCCTGTCTGATATTCTGTAACACAAAGTTCAGAGGTTTCTTTGTCCTCTGTCAGAATTCTACATTTCTTGCTATTAGGTCTATAGAACTTAGAAAGTCCTAATTATATAGGTGCTTTGGCAGTATTAAGTCTCACTGTACATGTGAACCTAAGTAGATCTCCGACAGTTGCTTCTCATTTTATTCTAGATAAAAACAAATGTTTCCGTAGGTGAAGATCATACTTGTAAAGTCTGAGAACCAGAAATTCAAAAGAGAAGTCTTGGGCCTTGGTGTTTACTGAGAATAACACCATTACAACTTGGGCATTGTCTCTGTAACATGTTATATTAATCAGGATGTTGCTTATCTGGAGACCTTCAATTGTCCTTTTACATGATTTCTGATAGCTCTATCACTAAAAGAATCATACTTACGCATATAGTAACTATGGCTATACGTTATTATTTTTTTTTAATATGGTTATCACGTTATTCAAGGGTAGTTGTCTTTCATTAATGAGGTACTCAAGTTTTAGCCTTTGTATTTTTAGTAGGCAAGAACCTTTGTAATGATTAAGTGATCTGAGAAGTATTATATTTTTGATAAAATAACAGATCAAGAGAGTAATCTTTGTATTCAGGGATGTATCTGATACCTTTAGCTATCCTTTATAGATGCCAAAGGTATAAGTGAATTCCAGGCCTCCAGTAAGCCATTTGTGCAAGCAGTCTAATTAGCTTTAGTGCAGCAAGTAACAAATGTATAAAACTTGCACAGTTTTCATAGGACCCAGTCCAAGTTTTATACCAGCTTTGTTGAAAACTGTCAGAAATAGATTTACATGGTAACAGTAAAATAGCTTAAATACTCGATGTCAGTACTTTAAGCTGTGTGACACCTTCCATACTAAGACACTGTTTTAATTTTTTTTAACTGCCAACTGCAAATCATTCTCACTTGCTTTCAGTATTGTTTCAAAGTGAAAATTTGGTGTTTTTTTTTCTCTACAGTTAAAATGAAAATAATGCAGATGTTTCAGAGTACCAGTTTCCCATGTTAACAGCTTTTGCATTGCATGTGAAGGGTGGTTTTTATTCTTCCAACTGCTTACAACCCATGGGAACTTCTAATGGTTTTATGTAATGAAACAAAAAATTTAAAATTTATGAGTAGGTCTTGCTTTGTGGCAGGTTGTCTTTTTCCTGCTGCTGTGAAAACAACCAAAACTTGGCCAAGTTATAAACCTCCGTAAAATCTGTTCATAAATACTTGGAAGAGATCATTAGATTTTGACAGCTATTTTTTTTTCTTTATGGTTGCTTCAGTGAACATGCTCTTTTTTTTGTTTGTTTCATTTTTGTTTTGTTTTGTTTTGTTTTGTTTTCCCCTTCCTTCCCCTTTAGTTCATGCGCATTGACCTGGTTGCACATGCTCTGTTGTCACACTGGGGCTGAACAGAAATTTTCTGCAAGTGTTTCTTTCAGTAAACAGAAACACTGTTGCCATATGCACAAATGTACAGGAAGATTATTACTGGAAGGAAAAGTACAGTAACAGTGAAGTTAACAGTAAAATCATGTGCTGGTCAAGGCATAAAGGTGGGGGAAATCAACTAAGGTTGTATAGAGTCACCTTAATTTTGTTTAATTTTTTTAACTATTAATTGTGTAAATTAAGAGAACATTAGTTTGTGACACTGGGGAAAAGGCACTGGAAAAGATGGTGTAATTTTTCTGTAATCATAAGTGTTTGTAGGTAGTTGCAGATAAGAATGGACCATCTTGATTAGTGTTTATATAATAAATCATGAACTTGCAGAATGAGAAGGGAATAGAAAGATGCTAGCTGTTTAAAGATGAGATTAGAACATATTTCTAAAAAAGATAGGGATATTCCTGTATCTGCCAGAAGAAAGCCTTATGTGTTGTAATATTGTGATTAATATTAATAGGTGAGTGGTAAGAAGTAGCTGATAATAGGAGTCTAAAAGTAAGAAATGGATGCCTGTAATTTTGAAGTAGGTTCCTCAGGTAAACTGGGAGAAGAAGTTTGTATGAGAAGGAAGAAAAGACGATTGACATATAGCACTGGTAATAATTGCTCTTAGTAGCTAAAAATCTTGAAGATGAGAGAACACTTGTATTTTAAAAATATTCTTGATTTTGTGCTATACCACACATTATGTAAAATTTTAACATATTTCAGTATTTTAAGTATATTGGGATTTATAATACATATTGTATTTTCTTTACATATAGAATGCTACTACGGAGAAGCATATAGTAAAATGCTTGGTTTAGCTTGATAATTTTTATTTAAACTGCTATATCTTACTGAAAGGATTATGCTTAAAATTATGAGGGAGATAAAAAAATACTTCTGATATTAGAACAAAGTGTGAAACTTCAGTAATAATATTCTGTTGGTGCACAGGGATTGTTTCTTACTAGGGTATACTTTCCATTTCATGAATCTCTGTAGAAATCTTTTTTGTAGATAAAACATTACCCAGAATATAACTTCTAGTTTTAAAATATTTTGCTGCATGCTTCTGTCTTTGCCTAATCATCCATTAATTCTGAGGTTTGTGGAGAAGAAGTTAATACATCTATGGTAAAGGATGGGCTGTGGAACACTGACTTGCATAGTGTTGCTCTATACAACATTACAGAATACTTAATCTTGCATACAACTGTTGTAACAAATAATTGTTACAGGAAATACTGAAGTCCTGTCCAAAGGAAAAAAAAAACGCTTTATAGAGATATGAATACTTATGTGTAAAAAATATTGCGTCAATGTTTGTATTACGTTTATTTTCTGTGTTACTTGTGTGAATTTCCCACCATGCTATGAATACAGGGTTTATGAATGGTTTCATAGTCTTTGAGGAACGCTTCTAAAAGCACACACTTATTAAGCTGTACTGGTATTTCTGCATTTTTATTGACATGTCTTTTACCTTCATTCTTTTCTGTTGTGCTGTTGAATACAAATCCACGTAGGTGTATCAAGGTGTGAAGAAGCATGGCTTTTTGCAGCCACACATGCTGGCAGAGCAGGAGGTGGTTATCACCACGTATGATGTCCTCCGCACTGAACTGAACTATGTAGATATACCCCACAGTAACAGCAAAGATGGGCGCCGTTTCAGGAACCAGAAGCGATACATGGCTATTCCAAGCCCCTTAGTAGCAGTGGAGTGGTGGAGGATCTGCCTTGATGAAGCACAAATGGTTGAATGCACTACTGCAAAGGTATGATATTCCCAGTCATGCATTTATTTAACTTGAAATGGTTTTGACAAGCTTATTGTAAATAATACAATAGACTTCCCTCTCTCCCTCTCAGGGTTCAGTGCACTTGGGTAACTTGTCCTTGTAGCTTGTTCTTTAGAAGTGAATTTTCTGTTGGAGATATTTACTATTAAATGGTTCTCTTGTGGGAATTTTGACAGATGGTGAAGTATATTCAGCTCAAAAAAATACTTAACATAATCTATACAGACAGTTTAAAGAAGTAGGTCATCATGTTGTATATGGTGTTTGATAGTTTCAAACAAGACACTAGCATGTTCAGTGACATGGTTCAGAGGCATAGATATGTCCTTTGGGTCTAGAAACTAAAATATTCAGCAGTGTGTCTGCAATCTGCAGAGGGAGACTATTTTAATTAGTATTCGTCCAGTCTGTTTGACCAAGACAGGAAGACAAAATGCTGCTTACATAATGTGTTAGAGGCTTTAATTTTATTCTTTTTACACACAGTTTCTTTTGCTAACTATGTTTTGTGAACCCTTAGTTTTGCTTGATTACTTGAAAATGGATATAGCTTTTATCAGCTTTCAGTTACCTTCAGGAAGAGTCAATTACTTTATGTGCTATACATCTTTATAATATATTGTACCAATGCTGTTTGTAAGTCTTCTAATCTTGCATACTGGAAAGATGTTCAGACTTCCTAAAAATAACGTCCATGTGTTTTCAGACTGCGTTCCACACTATCTTTGTTTTCTCTTTCCTACCATTGGTTCTGTCTTCTTTTGCTAGGCTGCTGAAATGGCACTGCGTTTAAGTGGAATCAATCGCTGGTGTGTCAGTGGCACTCCTGTGCAGCGAGGATTAGAAGGTGAGATTTTATGTAGCAATGTCATCTCTCGGTTTTCCTTGTGCTGATATTTAGGTAGTGGTTTGAAGCAGTTAATATGTCTGCTAGTTTTGCTCTGAATTCATTAGGACTTGGTAAGCCATAAACTTTGAGCATGTAATAAAGCCATCAATAAACGTATTGATAAAAAAAATGCAGAGGAATTTAGAGAAGCTGTACATCAAACAGTTGACTAAAGTCTGTTCTTAAGTTTTCACTTAGCAGAGTGGGTAAATATTAACCCCTCTCTATTGCAGCTAAAGATAGTCTTCTCCAGTTACAGAACCCTTCTAACTGTCAAATACAGCAAGCAAAGCTGTATTTGCTTTTTACATAGCCCTGTTTGAACTACTGTGGGCATCAACTGCCACGAATATCAATTCTAAAAATTGTACTAAAGCTAAATGAAGCTGTATTAAGTCCTTACATAAGGACTTAATGAATTGAGATGTGTGGAGCTGTATGTTAGCAGGTGCCATTTATCTTGTCTTTTTGGTGAGGTACTCAGTTTCTGTAGACAGGCTTCAGCCAGAGATAGAAAAAAGAAAAGGCACTGATCAGCTTTTTCATCTCCCTGTGTTCTTTGATCTGTTTAGGAATATGTGCTGCACATTGAGGCAATGAGTTTGAAAAGGGATAAATCGGTGTGCATTTGTGAACTGTTGTTCAGATACCAAACTATGACGAAAGTTAATATTGTAGACTAATTCATTATGCAATTGTGGATTAAATTTACAAATACACGTAATCTGTGAATACATAGTCAAAGCAAACACTATAGAAGGAAGTGATTAATTTGACCATCATGATTAACTTGCTCAAGTCCCTATGTGTGATAGTGTTGATTTAATATTTCTACATTGTCCATATGCAGCATTTAAATGTGTGCTTCTGTATTTTTCCAATAAGATTTTGATACAAGCTTAAAATCAGTATGGCCTTAAATTTCGTCCCCAAAAATGATGGGTTTCTGAATTTGGCAGAATTAGCAATCTGTATTCTCTCAGTTATGAAGATAACAATAAAACTGTGTTTTGTTAATTTATTCTGCCTTAGTAGAAAAGTAAAAGTCTTTTGAATTGCAGCCCCTTTTAGGATAGTGGGCAACAGGCAGCTGGTACACAGCAGGCTGTGAAGTAATGATACCGAGCAATATTGTTTTAGAAAAACCTGGCAAACACAGTTAACCATATGCACTCATGTGATTTCTGCCTCTCACCCCTGCTCTGAATAGGTTTAAATTCATTGTTCTGTTCTGCTAGTGTCTCACAAATAGTTATATGCTAGCAAGTTCTATGAAAATCAACAGCTAGGTAAAGGAAAGAACCTTCAGCTTCCTCCATCTGGTCCCCTGCCTCAAACTAGCTGTTTTAGTGAGGAAATGACTGGAAAACATGTGGAGAAGATAATGGCCGGAATGTAGTTGCTTTATGCCTGGTAACTTTTCTATGAAATTTAAGTTTTTGGAGGCATATTGTGAAGTATTAAAAAAGAAACGTTGTACTAAAGCATTTTTTTTTCTTGACAGATCTGTATGGATTAGTCCTTTTTCTTGGAGTTGATCCTTACTGGGTCAAACATTGGTGGGACCAACTTTTATATCAACCTTACTGTAGGAAAAATCCCCGGCCCCTCTACAGTCTCATTGCCAAAATAATGTGGAGATCAGCAAAGAAGGATGTGCTTGACCAAGTAAATAAGAGTTTTGGTGTTTAAAATTCTCAACACTTCTCAGTAACTTCAGTTGCAAATTACTTATTTTCTCTTCTAATTGCAGATTCAAATTCCCCCTCAGACAGAAAATGTCCACTGGCTTCACTTCTCTCCTGTGGAGAGACACTTCTATCATCGCCAGCATGAGGTGTGCTGCCAGGATGCGTTGGCAAAACTCAGGAAGATTTCAGACTGGACTCTGAAGCTTAGTAGTTTAGATAGAAGGACTGTGACTTCTATTCTGTATCCTTTGCTGCGGCTGAGGCAGGCCTGCTGTCATCCACAAGCTGTTCGGGGAGAGTTCTTGCCATTACAGAAAAGGTGAATTTTTGTCACTTCCTTGCTTTATCCAAAGCAAAATTCTAGTTGTCCCTAATGGTGCAAGATCTTGTACAATTCTTGAGCAAGCCTAATTTTAAGCTTCTTTAGTTAAATTTGCAACTATGCCACACCAAACTATCTGACCGCAGAAGCTGAATAGGATGCAGTGGGGTATTTAGCGTAATTCTTGTGTTAAAGAACATAGTATGGAGAGGCAGTTGTTTGTGCAGTAACATTTTAACCTTCTGATACTGATGAATACACGGGTGTTGAAGGTCACAGATAGTGTAAAACAGACCAGATTCTTTTTCAGTTTTAAATAAGCCCACTGATCTTCTTTGTCTCCTGCAAAACTCATGGTCATAAATGAGAAGAACAAATGTAATGAATAAACAGAATGAGGCAATTCTTTAATTCAAAGAGTATGTTGTTAATGTGAGGTTGTGAAATTTGTAAATTTAGATCCAAACATGAAGTTGTTCAAATGCTTTTTCTCACATCTCCCTCCCCTTCTTATTTTTTTGTGTGCTTTCAAGATCATCTTCCTCACAAGTGTCCTACAAATACTGGTTTGGTTTCAGCCTTTGTTAGACCAAAAGCATGTTAGCACTCTTTGCAGAATGTAGCTGCTACTTTTGCCGTCAATTATAGGGGGGTTGTGAAAGAACACACAATTTCCATTCCAGGCTCTCAGGGCACTTGTTTCTTTTTTTAAGCTACAGGTAGGGAAGAACTTAAACTTTTAACACTGCCAGTGTTACTCCTACTGTTTTCTGATCTTGTTCATCCATTCTGTTCAGTCTCTTTTCTATTCTTTTATGGAGTTTTGCATCCTACTCTTCCTCCTTTCTCAAACAGAGCACCAACAGTGCCCAAGCAGCTGTAAGTGACTTTGCACCTACTTCAGCAGGGACCAATAGTAGGCACTGTGCTGTAACGCTTTAACAGTCTGCTAGTGTAGAAGCAAGGACTCAAACATGGGAGAAACCGAAACTCGTACCAGCCTGTACAAGATTATTTGCATTAAAATGACCCAGTGGGGTACAAATGAAACATGTGCTAAATATGCCGGAAACAGCTTAGTAGTGTGTTGATTTTGGTGGAATGCTTGCATGATAGCTGCATAGTAACTGTGGTGGAAAAGCCAGCAATGAAAATGAAATCTTTATTAGTATTATATATACAAAGAAAAGGGTTTTTTCCCAGCGCTATTTACATATCTCTTTTTTGAACCAAGCTTGAATGCAGCAGTGAACGTTCTCAGAACAGAGAGAAGATTTGTCTCCTGACTTTGGTTGTATGTAGGAGAATAATGAAGAAATTCAATGCTAGGAACTTAAATGAATAAGAGAAATTTAGTGAAACAAGCAAGTTGATGCTGGAGCATATGGATAACAGAAACCAGCCTGAAACAGGAAGGCCGAATTTGGAACATATTCCATGTTAGATGACTTCTTCCCCACCTGTGTAGTGAAGGCAGTAAATGAGAACATCTACTCAGCAAAATTATAGCCCTCAAAAGGGAGTTTCCTAGGCTCCCCTAGCTTAAACTGAGTTAAAAACGCTTCATTTTTACTTAATTGATAGTCTCAGGGTAGGTATCAAATTGCGTAGTTTATATGTACAGTTTTTGCTTTTATAATTTCTTGAAACTGCTGATGGTTTTGAAACTGAAAAGCAAGTTATAATAGTAGGAGTATCAGAACATCAGGGCTGCAGGTGCTGTGTGTATTTGCCAATACCTCTGCAAAATTCAACTGATTATAAATAGTGATTATATTGATTTAAAGCCTGCTCTAGTGTAACACTGTAAAGTAAACTCCAGGAACAATTTTTGCAAATGGAACGGTTGTTGCAAGGAGAGCAAAATAAAGGCCTAATCAAGGATACCTTTCCAGCATATCTTGGTTCCAGACTGCACAGGAGTTCTCACCTCTTACTCTACTCCACAGCACTGAATATTAAATAGTAAATGCTTTTCCCGAAGGTGAATAAGGTTGAGGAGCAGAGTTTTGGGGAGAAGGGTAGAGTCTGGTCTCACAGCAGCAGTTGGTCATAGAAGCAGCCTCAGGTCAGCTGTTGTGGACTGTTGCAGTTTACTCTCCTGTCTCTTCGCATCAGTCTTTATCTTTGTCCCTTGGCCTTACTCCAAACTATCCTTCACGCTTCTTTTTCATCTCTGTTCTTGCTTCTACCGCTTCTCCATTTTCTGTATTTTTATGTTAATTCTCTTCTGACTGAATTCTTCTCATGAATTACAAACAAATGTAGAAAAGGAAGTTTAAAATGATACTTGCTAATCTTCACTGTTCTCATTTCACACATTTTTCCTCTTTACTTTGTAATCTCATCTGTTTTGCAAGTTTAGACTGGTAGCAGAGAAAAGAAACGTAGCCTCTCATAGCTGTTTTCATTTGAAGAGCTTCTAGCAAAATGAGGTAATTTTTTTGCTTCTTTCCAGGTCACAAATGTAACAGAAGGAGCAAAATATTTTGCCCTGTGAAGGATTATTTTACCTAGTTCTAATTTTCCTCTTATTGCTTTCTCTTTTTAGGAATTGTCAACTTCTTGATGTACTCAAGTTAGGGTAAAGCTTTAACTGGAAGAAAACCTCACAACTAGGTGTTTTTTGTAATAAGTAAATAAATCTTGAGTAAGCATTTGCACGTATGTTGGATGCATGTAACAATCTTTCATGCTGCACAGTGTGACAGTATTACCACTCTGGTATTGTGGTTTTGTTTCAAATTCAAACTGTTTGGTCTCCATTTCAGCACCATGACCATGGAGGAACTCCTAACATCTCTGCAGAAGAAATGTCGAACAGAGTGTGAGGAAGCTCACCGACAGTTGGTGTGTGCTCTTAATGGCTTAGCTGGTATTCATATCATTAAAGGTAATACTGTGTGGCTGTAGCATATTCTTCACTCCTTTCAGTAGGCTAATTATGGTTTAGATGACACCATGTGAAAACAGTGGCTTCTAAATTGAGGGAAAAAGCCATAGTGAAATCCTGGGTAACTAGAGAGGCTTGTAATAGTGTTTGTAACAAAAACCAGCATTCATTCTAGATGAGGGAGAAAAGAATAGGTGTAGTTTGCATCTTTAAGATGTCTCAGAGTATTTCTGTCTTGTTAATGCTGTATATTACTTTGTGATTCTACCATCTATGTGTACAGGGAGGATAAAAAGTCATACTTGTGTAATTGTACTTAACCTGCTTTTGTTTTATCAGCGCTGCTTTCTGGTCTTCCTTTGTGTCCCCTGCCATGCAGACTGCTATGCTGACTGCTGTTGCCTGCTGTACAGCTCTCTCTGATTTAGGAGGAAAAAAAGATTTGAATGGGAAACCAAAGTAATTATATTAATCTTGAATGTCCCACTAAACAAAATAACAATAAATTAAAATAGCTTAGTCATACATGTGAAAAACATGCCTCTTGTCAAGTAACAAGTCTTCTAAAGTTGACAAGTTGCTTGAGTTTTTCCTGCTTATGTTAAAGTCTTCCTTCAAAGAGGAGAACAAGGAAACTGCCTGTTCTGTTACTTGCCTTATGCAAAGACTACATTCAGATTCTCTGGTCTGTAGTTAGTACATTTGAAATACTTTATGATTGCAGGATGGTTATCAATTTTTTCAGATTGAATTAAGTGCTTAAAAAGACTTCTGTACAGATAGAATACTTCTAAAATACACCAGTAGCAAAAGTTTGGCCCTTTTTCACAAGTAAATTGATGAAAATTGCATCTGGTGAGAAACAAAAGCAGGACTGAGGCAGACTTATCATCTATAACTTTTTTTTTCCCCAGCGTTACTGTTATCAGCAAGGAGGAAGCACACCTTATATAAGTAAAGCAATGAATTTAGTGTTAGTGTAATAGAATTCATATAGGTCTAGTTATTAGTTCAGATGTAATTGTTACAGGCAGGAAAACAATAATAATCACACTTGTTTCTACTGCTTGTCCTGAGTATGCTTATCTTTCTACTGCCTGTCTGGGTCCTGAGGCAAATGGTTTCATATTGGTGGTGGCAGTGCTATGGTTAGTTGTCACCACCTGGAGTTCTTTGTCAGGAGAAATAAGATATTTGTGTTGGTGGTTTCTTCTTTCTCACTCAAGGATCCAATTAGGGTACTTCATGTTTGCTAGCGACACTTGTCTCTTTCTTCATCGGTCTGCAGCTCCACGTTAACACCAGATTTAATGTACGTGATGCCTTTTACGGATGTTACATACTATTTCTTTGTTCTCTTTGTTGCCCCTAAATCCAGTTTTGTCCAGCTCTAGGTCTGCATTTCTTTGACTGTGGGTGAGTTGTTTATAGCCATGGCTTCCATATTCACTGCCAAGCCTGTGCACCATCTCTTAGCATCCCATGGCTGTACTCCTCTATACTGCATCCTATATCTTTACTTTTCAAGGCCTCTGCTATTGTTAATAGGCCTGTATTTCTTAACACTACATCATTGTGTTGTAAATATCTCATTCTACATAAAATAACTGCCTTTTACTTCTATCTATATAAAGCTGTGATTGTACCACACAAACAAAAGTAAAACCTTCCCCCAAAATTAGCAATAGATACCTAGTGAATTAGAGAAATTGCTGTCACAGCTAAGCCAAGTAAAATGTGCAGGCAGGAGGCCTAACAAGCCTCAACCTTGAGTCCTTGCACGTTCAGTACATAGCTATTGTCCTGTAACTAGTAGTAATAGAATACTGCAGTATTCTTTTGCAGTACAGCACCCTTAAAACTGACAACTGTTCCAATGTAGGAAGCAACAAATCTTGTTGGGATAGGGTTGCTACACTTCAGGTAGCTATGAAAATTGTTTTTGCTTTACTTTGTTATCTGTCTTTACATACTTCATTTCCCTGTACTTCAAGTTTTAAGAGTCTTCTAAGATTATTACTGGCTAAGTAAATTTCTATCAGTCAAGAAAAGAAAATTAAAATGGATTTTTTTTAATTTGCTGCTTTTCCATATGTGATGTAATCTACTTTCTGAGAAGTGGTTGTGATGTTAGCAGCTTACATCAGTAGTTATGCTCCCTGCATGTATTTAATCATTTCTGCATTTCTGAAGTATGACACAACTTTCATTGTTTTCACTGGAAGAGCGAATAATGTATTTGCGATGCTAACTTAGTAATGCATCACTGTAGTGAGTTCTAGGTGATTTCCTTTAGTGCAATGTTGAGATTATGCAACTGTGAATACATATCTTAAGATCAAGAAGTCTACAGATCTTGTAGTCACAAAAGATATTTAATTTAGAGACTGCTTTAGTCTTTGCAAAATATAATACTCTTTGTCTTTTACCAGGTGGGGTTTTTTTAGGGGGAGGAGAGGGAATGAATAGGGAAGATTTACTTGAAGACCAGCAGATATTTACAGCCTCTCTGAAAACATCTTAGTATATTACAAGTGATGGTCATTCATGGCTGTTTGTATATTTAAAAACTGACAGGATATGTTTGTTGTTATTACTCTTTTAATTCAGGAGAATATGCATTGGCTGCAGAACTGTACAGAGAAGTGTTAAGATCATCTGAAGAGCACAAAGAAAAGCTCAAAACAGATTCCTTGCAAGTGAGTGAGCATTCAAATGCAAAGAGACATAGTTAAGAACTGGAATACTTTATATTTAATTTAACAGGTCAGTCTTCTCCTCCTCCCAGTGGTGTGCTGAATGGCTCTTTCAGCCTGCTGTCATTATCAGTCTTTCAATAGGAGTCTGTCCAGTTACCTTCAAGTTTTCTTTTTTTGAAAAAGCTACTGTATTTCTAAAAAAATTATGCTTGTGAGTCTTCATGATATCCCAGAAGTAGTGTATGATCTCCACCTGCTGTTCTGCAGTAAACTTAACATGCTGAATTCCTTGTGTCTGTGACTGTGACTGCTCATGGTAATGGCATGATAGTAACAGCCTGTGTGAATACAGGATGCTAGGTTTGCATTGAGAATGTTATGAACTTGCCACATGATAGAGACTAATAAAATCGGTGTACAGCAGAAGATGTTCTTTGAAAGGGCATCAAAACATGAAAAAGAATCTAAGTGAATTTTCTCTTTAGGAAATATATTAATACATTTTGAATACTACATTAAAAGTATGAATATATTTTCCTGATAAAAAAGCAATGAATGGTCTTTATATTTCTTCTAGAAATATCAGTTCTAAGTAGACCAAAATTTTCTTAAGCATAACAAGATGCTTAAAATGATAGACAGATAAATAAGAAGTGACCAGTTGTTTATTTCTTTACTTTGCTTGTTTCACTAAGTTATTTATTTTATTATCTTGCATGTGGGCATCTGATGGCTCTGTTGCACTTCTTTATTCCTTTCTTCTCCTTTGTGAATTCCCAGTGGCTTTTTTTCACTCAGTATAGCTGTATTAGCATATACTTGTTAAGGCTGTTTTACTGGATTATGCAATCCAATAAAGCTTTTTATCCCCTCCTCAAAATGTCCACTGCCAAATATTACCTTGGTGTAGTAAAACTCAACTTTCGTTGAGTGATTCCTAGTTGTGTAGACATAGCTCATTAATGTAATAGCAAACCACAACTGGCCAGTGCTTTTCATGGCTGAAGACAAGGCAAAGGTGAATTGGATCCCGAAGGTTAGAAGGGTACAAGTTCATAATAGTGAAAGTTATTAGTATGAGTTTATGGGAGATATGCAGGCAGTGTAGTACTAGGGGTCTAATTTGGAATATGTAGGGTGAGCAAGGGAAGAGGAATAGATTTGCCTTATATTAACAATCATGTTTATTTTCCCTAAACATAAACAAAAATGTCATGTTTTATTCAGTCATATTTTATTTCAGAAAAGTAAAAAATAAGAAAAAATTATTGAAGCTCTTGGGAGCTGGTTAATTTCTTAGTTTATTTTGCTTTAAATAGTCTTAGTGAATTGTCTCCTTATAATATTCTGAAAAGTTTTTACAAAAAAAATGTACTCTGAGATTAATAACTTGTTTTTCATGATAGTCAAGGGCTGTTGTAATTAGGGTGAGTACAGGACAGAATCTGATGAATTGGTGTCAGACTTCTCTGCTGACTTGCTTCTGGGGTATTGAAGAAGGTATTTTTAATATTTCATTTCCTACCTCAGTAAAATGAGGAAAAGAATGTTTATTTTATCTATAAGATGCTTCCAGTTTAACAGAAAATATAAAACTAATTTAAAATTTAATATTGATGTTTTCATTGCTGTTTAAGCTTTTCCTGTCATAGGTGTTGCAGTGTATTTTTTCATGATTGCTGTTGACTTTGTGTATGTTTAGAGACTTCATTCTACACACAATTTGGTGGAATTGTTGGCAAAGCACCCAGGAATTCCCCCAACTTTGCGTGATAGCCGACTTGCAGAAGAGGTAAAACATTGTCCATTTTTGTATGATTTCATTTTGAAGAGCACCTTTCCATTTTTTTATCCTTCAATATTTTCTCTAACTAAAGAAATAACATTAAATAGCTTTCAGGTTAGCTGTGTACATTTCCTTTCAGATTAGTAAAATCAAGAGTTGTTTAGTATGTGAGATGGAAGCAGAAATGTCCAATAAAATGTTGCTGTCCTGAATGCTTGGTGATCTTCTATGTTGTGAGGGTGCTTTATGGATGTTTTAAGAATTTTTCTCTAAAATGTTATTTCTCCACCCCCTCAATGTTCTTGAGGAAATAACTTACATAGATTTTACTGAAAGAATGCATTATCCTGAAGTCTTTTGAGTCCTTTATTTCTTCACATTTTCTTTAATTTTTCTTATTTTAACTGCAGATAGTCAAAGTCTTCTCTAGGTGTCTTCTCTCATTTTTATGTAAATTCTATGCATAAGTAGGATTTTTTTTCTGGTTTAATGAGACTTGTTCCCTTAAATATTTAAAGGACTTTCTGCTAGCCTTTATAGAAATACTGCTTATTTTTTTTTATTGACCTGTAACTCCAACATTTATTTTTTTATCCCCTTTTCCTGACATTATTGTAGAGAGGAGGATTAGGAAATTTGTATTTTGCTTATAAATGAGAAGCAGAGATTGTTTCTCATAGCTGTCTTTTGCCAGTAGCTCATCCAAATACCTGAGAGTCCTGTCCACTCCTGGTAAGCTGAGCTCCATATGTAACAATGATATAATTGTCTTGATAGTAGAAAACAAAAAGAAGAAAGACTTAAACATACCCTAAAATGCATAAAATAAATATATCTAATGAAATCAGAATATAATGGTGAAAGGTGTGTGTGTGTGTACATGTTACTTGTAGGAAATAGAAGTTATTTGTTCATCAGTTTTTAAAATACCAAGTAAACTGGTACTGATTATATTATGGAGACATCTGCATACCAAGAGGGATTTTCACTGTCAGAAGTAATTTTTATTGAAAAGTTACATGAGAAAATAATGAAATTTAACCTTTCTTGTTATTTTATGGGTAGGTTTCATATGTAAGTTAAATTATTATGTTCTCAGATTGTTCTAGGATCTTTATTATTTATTCAACACAATATATTTTAATGTACAGAGAAGTAAGAATTATGAGTTATTTTCCAATTCCTTTCTGTAATGCAGTGTATTCCTATTGTGTTTTTTGGGGTTATCCAAAAGCAAAGTTGCGTAGTTAGCATCTTGGTAGTAGTTTGTCTTCTCAAATGTTTTTTGGGCTTACTGCTAAATGCTAGATTCTAGAGGAAAAAATTAATGCTAAATATTGTTTACAAATGAAAGTGGGTAGCACATAGGTAATTAACCATTTTAAAACACTACGGTAGCTGGGGAGTTTTTGCATCTTCAGTTACACTTCATAAATATAAGTTGTGCATAACTTAAGCTGTCATTTCCATACAGGCAGAACAACTTCGACAGCATTATATGAGTAAATCCAATGCAGAAGTTGCAGAAGCCCATCAGGCCTTACAGCCAGTTCTTCAGACCATTCGGGAGCTCCAGAGAAAGGCAGGTACCTCTTACATATTTAGTATCTGAATTTCGAGATTTTTTTAAACTACTATTTCCATATGTTTATCCAGAACTCCAGCTGTTTATTATCTCTAGCAGTTCTTTGAATGCCTGTTTGGAGTAGGACTTCAGCAGTGTGTGTGTGCGTCCACGCACACAGAGCCCTCGAATATATCCTGTGTTCCTCGCGTGAAGAGCCACAGAGTAGTTGATGAACAGATGACTAAAACCAGAAGTATATGGTGGGATCATTCCAGTACAGTTTAACACCATGCTTGATTCTTACATGAACTGTTTCACTTGTAATTTAGGTAAATAAGTAGTAGGTTTTGGCTTTGAAACACTTCTTCTGTGGTGTATCAGATGGTATTTGTTAATTTCAAAGGAACTGTTCTTTGATGTGCGTTAGGTCACTGTGCCTAAGGGTTAATTGTGTTTAGTCAATATGACAGTTCAGGTTTCTTGGGAAGGTGCAAGCTCTTAATGAACTGATGAATACCCGAGTTGAAATATTGCTTTTCACTTGCATAATAGGAGAGAAATAATAAATATATGGAAGCAAGTGGCACATGAGGAAGTGACCTTATGCATCTTCTCTCACTGTTTAAAGTTATAAGATCACCTAAGTGTGGCTCTTTATTAATTTCACAGAGAGCTTGCTTTCTCTGATTAGCTGATCCTTTCATCTCTTTTGGAGAGAGAGGAAATTTTGAGATTACAGTATCTCTAATCTGTGTAGATTGCCTTGGTGAATCTAAATCTACTGAAGCAATTTGAAGGTGTGGAAGTAGATGAGAATGTAGAAAATTTCTTAATAATGTTTTCACTTAAACAAGAAAGGGGATTTTTTTTTTTTTAAAGCATACTGTCATCTTCCACTTTCCATGGAATTTACCAGTTTGTGTTAGTGTGTGGCCTAGAGGGCAGTATAAGCCTCTGCTGCAATGAGTAAATTGGTTGTTTTTTGAACATTCATGGATAAATCTGTTCTTTTGCACACAGATACATTCAGGTTCTCCTTGGTGGTTGGATGTCATCCAGACAGCAATACAGTATGCCATCGATGAGGAGCTTGTTCAACGTGTGCAAAACGAAATAACCTGCAACTACAAACAGCAGATTAATAAACTCTCCATGGCAGAGAAGTAAGAGAATAGCTAAAATAGGCTAATGAATACAGTTAAGTCTGCTCAAGTCCTCTTACAAGTTTATCCTAACAGTTGCAATTAAATAACAGGCACTTTTGCTTCAGAGCACCTGGGCTGCAATTAAGTTTCAAAAACAGTCACCCAAAAGTGTAACTAGATAGAAGACTTAGAAAGAAAAGCAGGAGAATTACAGTTTTCTCCTAGACAAGTGTTCTTTTAAATGTTAAGTGTTACTTGAGAATGATGGCATCTCATTCTGGTCAAATAAATTTGTGAAAAGGCTTGTTTGCATGTTACTGCTGAGCTAGTATTCCTGTTCATCTATATGCTTAGCTGTGTCATACTGGAAAAAAAGTTGATTTGTTTTTTTTCCCCACTTGAAATCAGCTGCTTAGGAAGCATCTTTTTAAATTGTTGCTGCTTACAGTTTGTATAACTTTGGACAAGCTAGTTGACAGTCAACTATCACTTTTATAAAATAGGAAAAAAACTTCAGTCCTTTTAAATTTACTTTAGCATATACAATAAAAACTTTAAAAATGGTCTTATGAAGTATTACTTGTTTGAAGCAACAAATGCTAGTTTCTAGTTGAGTCTTAAGAGATAGTTAATCCAAGGTATAGTGTGGGAGATTTTCGTAAACCTGAGATATCTGGCAATTGATAGTATTAACAACAGAAATGTGATTGCAATTGACATGTATTTTCAGACTTCCTGGTTAGGCAAACTTGTCTATTTTATTTTAAAATTACACATTACTTAAGTAGCTCATTTTAAATGCTGAACTTTAGTAGTGTTGTTAGACCTGTGCTTTCCTCTCCACACTTCATAAAAGCGATGTTTTAGATTAAACTTTGCATATGGGGTAGAGCCACAGTCTTGTAATACACTGTCTTCTTTATGTATGCCAGACCTTGTATGAATGATGCACTCTCAGCAAGAGACCTGCTCACAGGAAAAACACAATATGGGAAATGCTTAACTGCTGTTCGTGTTCCTGCTCCAATCATGAAAGACAGCTAGCGTTATGAAAATAGATCACTGTCATGTCTATTCAATAATTTTAATTTTGAAAACTAACTTGCAAAATGCAGTATATTCTTGTGATGGGTGCATGTGTCTCCTGTGAATTGCACAGATGCATTGAAAATCAGTTTGTTGGCCAACAGATAAGACTCTAGTATGTACAGTGGTTTACCTTTAGTAGATTTGTGCTGTGGACCGGAATGTTGCAGGTTGGTGTTGACTACTAGTATTTGGTCGCATCTCTTAAGTTTTAGAAAGAGTCTTTTTAGTCTACAGATACCAGGCATCACTTCAGGATACAGTGGAATGATTTCTAACAGTATTGCATGTAGTAGTAATAAGCATTTACTTATTGTATAAACTTTATATGTTGTCCTATATTGTTATTTAGCTGTTTCTCTTCTACTTCAAAATACTGAATTAAGTATGGATTCAGTGCCTCAGTGTGCAATTAGTTCCCTTTTTCTTTAAATCAGATTCCGTGACTGCAGAGGGCTTCAATACCTGCTCACAACCCAGCTGGATGAAGTGAAGAAGTTCCAGAAGACTGTGAGAGAAGCAGTGAAAAACTTAGAAGGCCCTCCCTCTAAGCAGGTTATTGAGGCTGCCACTATCTGCCATTTGCGACCTGTTAGACTTCCACTCAACAAGTATGTCTTGAAAAGGGTTTGTATGCACACAGATATTGTAGATCCATTTGTTAGAATCATGACCTTACTTTGGTTTTATTCTAATAAAATTTTTCCTGTCAGTTATTACATCAGATGTATGCATGACTGCTAAATTGTTCTTTTTTTTTTTAAGGACTTTATGTGGTTTTATATGTTGGAATAGGGAATTACAGGAATTACTTTAATTTCTGATGAAATTCTGAGTGTTTTTTCGATATTCTCTATTGCAGCTGTGTCTTTTGTAAGGCTGATGAGTTGTTCACAGAATACGAGTCAAAGCTCTTTTCTCATACGTAAGTTCATAGCTTTATAAACTCACTATAAAGAATGAAAGCTGGATTGTTTTATATTTTCTACTTCAAGTTTTTTCTGAAATAACTTTAGGAACAAATTAAAGCAACTTTCTGCTAGTGGCCTTGATAGCAGTTTTATTAGGTTTAATTTTCTATGTACATTTCATTTGATAAAGTTATATACAAGGAGTGAATCTATGTCACTTTTTCTCAAGCTGCTATAATATGACCACACATTTAAAATGACGTGTTCAGAAAATGTGTGTATAAATACAAGTATGCTAACTAAATGCATATTTCTATTTGTGCAGATATTTATTTGCCATATAGTTGCAAATGGTATAGTACAATACTTGTTCATAGTTGTTTTTTTTAAAATACTGTATAATTCATAAAGTAATGAAATTTGAGTAAAGCCACAATGAGAGAGGAGATTTCAGACATGAATTAATGCAGCTGTGAGCCGAAAGAGGAGTTGCACCAGCACGTGATGTGAGAGATGTGTAGTGGACAGTACTGACAGGCATAGATGAGAGCACTCTGCATGCTTTCTCTTTCACTTCTATCTCATATCCCTCACAATGTCAAATTGGGTTCAGAAATCTTAACATAACCAAGAAAACATTTTGAGAAGTCTTTGCCAGTGGGAGCTCTGGTGCATAATGATTGCTGGAATCAGTAGGAAATGTTAGTGTCTTTCTCAATTAGCATTGTTTGTCAAGGAGGGAACTGAGAAGCTATAGTGTTCTGAAACAGTGCATTACACAGCAAGTTTTGCATCAGAGTTTAACTTCTTGCATATTTAAGAAGTCAGAATTGCAGGGTCTTTTTAAATGAATGTGACATTAATAATTAATAACTACTGAAAGATAATTAAGACTTGTAAGCCTTTACAAAAACTATTGATTATGAAATGACAAAATGGCCTGTACAGTGATTTCATTGCTGTTACTGAGGTCACTGTGTTCAAAGCAAGCTTTTGTGATATCAAGTAATAAAAAGGCTGTTTATATTTTTTGTTTGCTTTATCTTTTAATTAAGTATTAGAAGGCTGAAATATATGGTGAATAAGTAGAAATGGATGTGGAAATACAAAATCAGTTATAAGTATCCTGTTGGGTTTGTTTTTAAGCGTTAAAGGCCAAATGGCAATATTTGAGGAGATGATAGAAGATGAAGAAGGGCTTGTTGATGATCGTTTGCCCACCACAAGTAGAGGACTCTGGGCAACCAGTGAAACTGAACGTGCCTTGAAAGCTATTCTCTCCTTTGCCAAAGCTCACCGTATGGATGTTAAGCTCACTGAAGAAGGCAGCGCATTTCTGGAACTCTATGAAGCGTGGAAAAAGGAATATAAGGTACAGTAAATGATATGGTAACGAAATAGTTGTGTAGTCCAATTAGTGTAATATAAGCAAATTTAAGCTGAATCTAAGTTGTATTCCTGAAATTGGGATTTGCCTACACAAAGCTTTTTCGCAATGTTTATTATAGCGTTTGATTTAAAATGATTTCTATATGATTTAAGAGCTTCTAAAAGCTATACTGGCTACTAAGCTCATTAGTACACAATTTAATTGCATCTATTAAGACAGTATACAGGTATAATTAAATGTGTTCATCTGTTTAGTTAAACTGGTATGTAGCAGAACTCAGCAAATCAAACATTGGTCCATTCTGTAATTCAGTTTACCTTTACTCTTATGCTAGCTATACATGTCCTTTCACTACTGCTTCGTTTCCTGGATTTGTTTACTACACAATGTAAGCTGAAATAATTAGTCTCCTGTTGTTTGGATTAGAGAGAACTGCAGGAGTATACTATGGCTTTCTTCACATTTCCTTACAGTGAATACATATGAGTGATGGATAAGAGGAAAGAAATGTTGCACACAAGGGTCTCGTTCTGCCTTACAGCTGAGGTGTAATCAAAAGTGTTTTCTCTTGAATGCTTCTCATCATTTTTAATTAACACAGACCAGCTTCAGTGGAACACGCTTGGTACACTAGTGTCAGGCTTATTGACTCTTTCGTACACTACTTTTTTATTTTTCTTGTGGTCTGACATGAGAGGAGATTCTTGTTCCTTGAAACATTTTCACCCCTGTGATCCTTCTCCCAGGCCTTCTGTTTCATGATTCTAGGAAATTGAAACTTAACTTGATTTTTTTTCCTAGGAGGTTTTGAAAAACTGTTACTTGGTGCAAAACCTGTTTAAACAAAGTGACATCTCAATTAGCATTTAGGGATCTGATACCTGAAGTTACTAAACACACCTAATAAAGTTGTGCTGCTCTCACAAAGTCAGGTCACTTGCTTACGGTACCAAAACACTGATTATAGAATAATGACCCCAGCTGTTTTCGTGCCTCATTATTTTATGCCCTTGGCTTGTAGCAGTTCGCAAAAGGAGGAAGACATGTGATAGCCAGTTACCAAGGCATTACTATGTGTTGGGGAATTTCTACTGCAAGAAAGGGAACACAGTCTTTTTGTGTCCTTTTACATTAGGAAACAAAAGGTGGGACTAATATGCCAATGAGAATGAAAATGGTGCCATTATGAGTCCATCTGTTGTGACTTGGAAGTACTGATTCAGTTGTCCATACTACTCTAATCTAGGTCGAGCAGCAAAGATGATACTCTGTACTCTGTAAAATAACCCTTAAATTTAAAACATTTTTTTATTTTTATTGTTTAGAAAAAGTAATTTTAGCTTCGTTCCCCTAATTTTAGTTTAGTTTCTTTAGTTTTGGGGAAGCAAGCTCCTTTCAGCTTATTCTGTCTTTACCCCCTGTATCTGATTTAATACACAGCAATTTTATGTTTGAAATCTAGGCATAGCAAAAACCAAGTCTTTCTTGAGCTAAAATAAAAACCCCAAACATCCAACTGTCACACCTCCGAGCAACTGAGTGTTTAGAAGTATTTTTACCATTGAAAAATCAGAAAGCAACAAATAGTTGTTTTTAGCATTTGCAAAAGGTTTTGAATTTCATAAAATTTACTGAAGACTTTTACTAAAATACATAAATAGTGGAAAGATTGGGAAGAAGTTTTTTACACTATTATAAGTAGTTAGAAAAAGTCAGTTTATATGTATAGTATACTTCCAGTTTTAGCCATTTCTTTTGTACAAAGCCGCAACTTACTTTTTTGGGGGAGAATTGAATCCGATGTTATCTTTACCTTGTGCTTGTCTGTGTTATATCAAGACCACTCAAACTGTTAACCTTTCTTTAAGAAGCAGTCTTAGTATTATAATAGCTAGCTGTTTAAAGTTGCTTAATCATTTTTTTCCTTATTTTGTTCAGCATTTTCTTAGTCTTGCAAGGCATTTTGTTTCTGAACTTTTAGTTGCATTAGTTATTGTAATAGTTGTAGAAGAAATGAGAGACAGCTATTTATAGTTCATAAAGAGGCTGGAAAGGAAAGCAGGCAAGATGATCTCTGTACTGTTTGTTTTCCTTCATAATTTGTTGTTGTGACTGAATTTCTGTAAAGAAATATTAGTGCTTATTTCAAAAATATTTTCACATAATACATTGAGTCATATAAAGGGAACTCAAATCTACTGCTACTAATTTGTTTAGGCTTTTCTTGCAGTTACTTCATGAATATTGGATGGTACTGAGGGATCACGTGTCAGCTATTGATGAACTGGCAATGGCTACAGAACGGCTGAGAGTGCGTCATCCTGATGAGCCAAAGCCAAATCCACCGGTTCTCTACATCATTGAACCGCATGAGGTAAAGTACTTGGCAGAAAAGAAATGTTTTATTTTCTGAAAGAACCTACCTCCTACAAAAATAAAATTGCTATCTAGATCTATGCATAAAATCTATAATATGCCTCTATTTCCATTTCAGAAAGCTTGGGTGGAGTAAAAAGTTCCTGTCTATTTCTGCATTCAGTGTATGGGCGTTCTTGAGCTTGTAACTCTTATTTTGCTGTATTTTTGTCAGCCTTCTGTATGTAAGATGGCATGTTTCCAAAAGACTGCTTTCCTTCTAGCAGCAGGTGAATGGCTCTGGGACCTTTCTCTACAGTTGCCCCATTTTCCAAACTGGTGGAAAATTAAATTGACCTAATTTCTCACCCATATTGCTAGTTTCCACAGAGCCCTAAAAAAAAAAGGGAGTGAAAACCTAAAAGGCAAATCTTTGTTCAGTATCTTGGAATTTCTGTGCCACATCTAAGACACTTTCTGCTCATGAATATAGAGAAAATGCTGAGCTGATTTGACTTTTTTTTTTTCACCAATAGAAGTATGTTTTCAACAAACATTTTGTGCCTTTTTCAACATGATGCAGTGTTGGATAAAAGTGCTTCTTTCTTTAGGGAAATAGATACTTCATCTGAGTATTAAAGCAGTTTTTAAATGGAACACTTTGCTTAACAAATGTTTAACAAAGTCTGAGATTTATGTGTGAATTTGCAGCAATAACACACCCATTACTTTGGCCTTTGTCCTTCAAGTGCTTGCCTCTTCAGCAGTATTGACTCCACCACTAACAACTGTAATTAATCTAAAAAGAATTCAGCTTGATGTTTCTATCTTTGTATAGGTTAAATGAGAAGTGAAAGATTCTAGGAAGTTTAAAGTAATTAATTTATTCTTACACATTGTTTTTTGAACCAGCACTAGAGTCTAGGATTTACTTGGCTGTAAGAAGATAGATTATAAATTTAAAGAACTTTTAAAAACCTAAGTTATTTTTTATTGGTTTTGTCTCTTGAAAGAACCAATAATGCAAATAAAACAATAAATAGCAAGTTTGTATACACCTGGCTCTTGGCCTATTCACAATACTGGGTACAGGAAAGGAATAGGTAATCGGGAGAAGTGCATCTTAAATTTACAGAATGAGATGGTCTTTTATCTGTCCACAGTAAGTTATTCAATTGAATTTTGCCTAAAAAATGAATTTAAGCCTTACTGTAAAACTTAATTATGTTCTTTTTTTTTAATACATGTTTAATACTGTTTCTGTAGGTAGAACAGAATCGAGTGAAACTTTTGAATGACAAAGCAGTTGCCAAATCACAGCTTCAGAAGAAATTAGGACAACTTCTGTATCTCACTAACCTGGAGAAAGTAAGTTTATGGCTGAAGTGGTCTTTACCAAAGTGATGTGGTCTATCTAGTAGAAGAAACCTACCATTATTTTTAAAACTTACATTTTAAAGACAATGTATTTTCTCTAAAGATTCATTACATGTGAAATACAATATGATGTTGTTCTTTGTATTATTATGTAGTCATAAAGTAATTTATTATACTATATATTTTGGTTATTTGTTTAATTACATAGTGACAAAACTATGAACTAGTTTTAGATGGTTAAAACTTTCATTAAAACTAACTGGGCCATGTTTAGTAGAAGCCTTGTAAAATTACGTACTTCACTCTACGAAGAGCTTACCTTATTAAACAGAAGGACAGGCAGGTCTGTAGGTTAAATAAGTGTGAAAAAACAAACCAGACTCAGACAAACTGCATGCTTGTTGCATTATTTTAGTCATCATGTTTAAGTAAGTATAGTTGTAGTTGTAAACACAAAAATAAACACTTTTTTTTTTTCTGCTTTATAGTCTCAGGATAAAACTACTGGTGGTGTTAACCCGGAACCATGTCCAATCTGTGCGCGTCAACTGGGAAAACAGGTGAGATATTTAGTCAGCAGATTTTTGGTTTTAGGACATCTTTTACCGAGATCTGAGTCAGTTGTGTGTCAGATATGCAACTTACAATGTTTAAATGAATGTTGTATCGAAACAAGGGAAATAGGCCTTTTCGTGTGAAGTACCAGCCAGCCTCTCCCTTGAAATAAAATCTTGCTCAGTTGCAAATGCCTCTACTGCCTTCAGCTGTTGACATCAGTTCTTAAATGTTTTAGCAGAAATGTGCATTGCTGATTGTTTTATAACTCTCTGAAGTTTTGCTTTTGTCAGAAAAATTTCTTTGCCATTTATAAGCTAATAGAATGAAGAAATAGATAAACTTATGTAGTATACTACTGTATTTTACTGTATCTGCTCTTATTGATAGTATTTTTTTCTTCTAGACTTTAAAGAAATGGATATAGCTACTTAAACTGTAGTGAAAAACAATAGAATTAAGACTGGCAATTGGGATTTCTTTCCCTGCCATTTACCTGCTGAAAAAAAAAGTTGAAATTTAAGTGAGATTTAATCAAAACTGATCTATATCATAAAGTACAAAGCCATAGTTTATACTTCACTTACCGTGCATTAGGTAAAAACATGAAAGGACTCCTGTACAGTCAACCTAAACTGGCTTTTTTTTTAGGGTAGCTATTTTAAGGTGGTTTAGCTTCTGCTAGCTTTATAGACATGTGTAAGCATGAACTGCTGTCCTGCCATGTTTCCAAAATCCCCTCTGCACTTTTCTACCAAAGGTGATACAGGTATATACAGAGAAAAGCTGTTTGCCCTGCTAACTGCCATGATGCTTCATCTCGGAGCTGGAGAAGCTCACTGAAAGGAAAAATAGTCTTTTTTTAAATATTGGTCAGGACTGCCACTTGAGATGATGGTAGCCCTTTGTGGCAAGGAACTTTGAAAATACTTTGCACCCCATTTCTACGTGATTGAAAGAATCTTACAAAGCCCAAAAGATCTTTTGCTTGGTAATCAGTCATTTAGTCAATTCCCATTGCTGCTTAGACCCATGAAAACTGCTTTGTTTGGTTTGTTGTTTGGTTTGTTGTTTGGTTTGTTGGTTGGTTTTTTTCCTCCTAGAATGACCTATAGGACAGACTATACTTACAGAGAGTAAGACCCTATTTCTAAGTGCAAAAACATTGGTTTACAAATTACTTCTATGTTAAGGAAGGTCACAGCTGGCACATAGATGTTCTAGGACCTCAAAGGAAGGACAGCTTCTGCAATGCAGTCTTTTGTTTCTAATCCATTCTGTCAAAAAAAAAAATTAACCCTCTCTGTTCAAAATATTCTTTCCTCTTAAATGCAAAGATGTAGTCTAGGACCTAACAGTATGTGAAAATTAAAGCACTTTCATTAGGACTTTTTAAATAATAACTGATCTAGATGTAGATTAGAACATTTACGGAAGGCAAATACAAACATATAAGTAATTTATTAAAAATGTTGTAAATACTTAATCTGTGTACTTAATCTATGCATTAAGAATTATTCATATAAATTAAAGACTGTAATATCTTTCTTCAAGTTTAAAACTGGGAAAATAGAAAAAATAAACAATGCAGAGAACTTCTGCGGATTAGGAATCTTTCTGTGCTGGAAAACTTTAAAATCCAGACTTTTTAGCAGCTGGAAAGCTAAAAATTCTAAAATCTTCAATTTTAATCTGATAGTGTCTATGAAAAGGTAGTTTATCACGTATTAGTACACTGTTTTCCATTGATCTGAAACTGATACTGTTGTGTTTTGGTTTTGTATTCCCTGCATAGTGGGCAGTGCTGACGTGTGGACATTGCTTTTGTAATGAGTGTATAGCTATCATCATAGAACAGTACAGTGTTGGCACTCGCCGGAGCTCGATTAAATGTGCCATTTGCAGGCAGACGACATCTCATAAAGAAATATCGTACGTCTTCACTGCAGAAACTGCAAATCAGGAGGATGATATCCCTGTAAAGGTGCGTTGTTTCTGTGAGCTTTGTGGCCCAAACTTTCAGCAGTACAAATTTGTTGTTTGGCTGCATACTGCATTTAGCAGGCAAATCTACCATACAGTTTTATAAGTAGGTTCACTTGTATAATTAGTTTTGTTTATAATACATATAGTTCTTTTTCTTTTGAATTGGAGATAGTAGATGCTTCCTAACTCAAATTACTAGATTTGAAGTAGTTGACAGCATGTGGCACCAGGGGGAGTAAATAGGCTATATTTTTGAAGTGCTAGTTGTTGGAACCTTACTTCATACATGTTCAATAACAGATTATTTCCTCAGGATTTGGAAAGAACCCCTGTTTCTAACAAGAACATTTCAAATATGTTTCATAAATCATGTTTAAAAAACCCCCACCTAAATTTAATAAGTAAAAAACACAGAAGGAACATGTCAGCTACTGTCGTAAGGGATTGTAGTATTTTCCTGAAGTATTTCTGCATCAAAAACTTCTGGTGAGGCAAAAATATTAATTCTGTGTGAATTCACATGTCATCTTGAGCAGGGCCCATTCTTATTTCACAAAAAAAATAATTTATACTCTGTACTATCAAAACAAGCAGCATTGTTAAAAAAAATCTACTTCATTTTGTTTTAAGTACAGTTAACAAAGGATAACTAACTTACTATGGTTTCTATAGAATACCAAGGTTAAAATTAGTATCTTGCAGTGTATATATATAAAATTGTGTGATTTCTTCAGCATTTATATTTTCATCTGAGCTTTTTCAGTTCCTCTGGTTTCTTTCAATATTCAGTGCCTCTCTTTATTTTTCTTTACTTCCATTGTTCCATATGTATCTTGTATCTTGCTCTTTATTGTACCAGCACTAACCATCTTAAGTTGATGGAAAACAACAACATCTTCCACTTAGATGGAAAAGCACTACTGTAAATGGGAGCATTTTAAACTAAGAGATTACTGGCATCCCTGTGTGTTTTGGTTCTGTAAAAGCTTCCAGTGTCTGGTCGGTGTTACAGTGGGTATTGCCAGCCTGTCATCTGAGACAGAACTTGTTTGTTAGGGGGTAGGTGTGATTATAATGTGTGCTGTTGCATAATTAATTTGAACTACCTAATCTGTTTATATTATTTATAGTATATCTATAATTTTATAT